AGCCAACTCACGTATCTCCTATCTCATTTTTGTCTACTCTTCCCCTGGTGTCATCATATAGGTATGATGACAGACAGGTGAGAGCGTTGAAAGCATTCAGTAACGCTATGCTGTATATCTGTGTGAAGCAAATGGACAAGATGGTTACCCCAAACCCAGTTCATAAAACACCGACAAAATTGTATAGATATGCCCTACAATACGGAGAGATCAAGTGTCGATGATAGGGTTCGTATAAATCACAAAAGCAGTTCTGGATAGGACACATGACGCATACAACCTGATAAACTTCATTTTTGCCTAAAATTAATAATTAGAAAGAAAAACAAAACAAACTCCGTGACCTGTAGTCCGCAAGCGAACTATATAGACCGTGCGACCACCAGTTGTCAGTGAAGATAGTGCAACTTTTGCGTGCGGATAGAGGGTGTCACGTGGTCAGGGTAACGGATCCCCACGGCGGTTAATCTCGGTTTTCTAGACCGGAGTCGCTATTTCCTTGAAATAGCTCCTCAGTTATCCTCAAGAGGCTGAGTGGACCCCGTTCCAGACCCATTACTTCTCAGAAAATCTGGTAGCGGCGGGGATCGAACCCGGGACTTCTGGATCTGTAGCCAGGAACTGACCACTAGACCACAGAGGAGGTCAATTAATAATTAGACCTGTACAATATTAGCCATCCGCAAGAAAAGTGACACGGCTCAAAATGGTCATTTTTTTGTGTTCAATACTGCAAAGTACTGAAAAAGAGCTGTATTTCTGTGTAAAAGTTAAACAAGTGAGACTTCGATAATAGCTGGTAGAGATTTGTACTGTCAGTTTTCTCTTAGGCTAGAGTTGCGGCGAATATATTAAGTCTCAACTGCGTTTTACTTCTGTTAGTGGAAGGTCACGCTTGTCTCGGGGAAAACAACTTGTTTATAGTTAAGACGGTTTTGTGTCTAATAAGTGGAAATATGAATAAGAACACAATATAGTTCAACAAAAATTTCATAATGCGAACTGCGACAGCTCTGATGATAGGGTAAGTAATGTTTCAACTACAATTTATTTAATAAAATCTTCTCTGTCTATCAGTCATGTCAATTGATTAAAAATTATCGACGTTTCACATACCGAGATGGTTCTTGAAGAGTCGGCGATTTTAACTAGCTGATACAGCTGATAACCCGACAATATTTCATTAGCTTGAGCTGGTGAGAAAGATTCAGATCTAAAATTTATCTTTAAGAAGGCCGTCTTCTCGGATGTGGTGCCGTGTAGATATTGTATAAACCGCCGTTCGGAGGAACGTATCGCTTCCATCTTCAGGTCAGAAAAAAATCCTTGAGAGAGGAACCAGCGTGAGAAGGTGGGACTCCTCACGCTGTTTCTTAGCTCTGCGAATTTTTCTACCCTGAGGTTGGACTTCTTTTAGAAGGCAGTTTCTGCGTAAAACATGACCAATCCAATTAGCCTTCCGTTTTCTTATTAGAGGGGCGGATAGAAGTGACAAGAAGACGTAAGAAGATGCTCGATGACCTTGCGGACACAAGAGGATGCTGTCATTTGAAGGAGAAAGCTCTAGATCGCATTAAGTGGAGGAACTGTTTTGGAAGAGACTGTGGACCTGTCGTTTTGACAGATTACTGATGATGATGATGAGGAGGATGGACGCGATACGTTCCTCCGAAAAGTCTATTCACACAAGATCTACACGGCGCCACACCCCAGAAGATTGCATTTTTCAACCAAACCGTTGCTTAGCGGACAGTTATCTCCAACAGTAAAGTGACTAAAAAGCCCCCAATATTTCAGCGAAGATTTCAACAGAACTGTAAAAGCGCCGTACCCCTAGCAGGGCGTTCGGCACAGTTAAAATAACACGAACTCTTCTCCTAAGATAAACAGGCATTAAATTCATATGCTACTACTCACTGTTTATGTTTTGAAATTGGCGATAAGTCAAAACTGTAAGCCCACCAAGTTATATGCCGAAATTCGAACTACTTTGTCAGGGGAGGTAGGAACAGAAACAGAAAATTAGCTTGCAAGTGCTGCTTCAACACCGGCCTAGACGAAACATGTCTTCATCTCTCAAGTGGCGCAATCAGTTCCACGTGCGCACACTAGTACGTGTTTATATCAGCTAACACTGATGATTAAACGCAGCCCTGTCAACAGGTTCACTATCACCGAAATGACCCTTTTTCTTTCAGTGTCAATGGACAGAATCCAGAACAAACCTTAACTGTGCAATCACGTACCCTAACCAAGTTCACGCAGTGTTATAGAGCGCATTTCTTGTATAGCAGAAATATCTAGGAATATAGTCAGCATAATGGCAACCTTCTTGAGAAACTCTGCAGAGGAGAGCAGGCGCTTCAGTCACGCGATGAAGAGAATGAAGTCAAGCAACTTACTATTTCTCTGGCAAGAGCAACTGTAAGGCGAGCGAAAGCAGTACGTAAAAGTAAAGTGACGGCGAAAAACTCAGAAACTTCAGAGAAAAGTGCTGGGAAAATCACGACGCCCCACGAAATTCAGCGTTCTAGAAGACAATTTAGAAAACATGTTGTGTGCTCCCCCCCCCCAGGTGTCTGCACCTTGTCGTAGTGGTGGGGCTTGCGTGACTCTGTGGCCTGCAGAGCTATGCTGGCGGTAGTTTAACTACCGGTAGGATCACGCATGTCGGAAAGGTCAAAGGGTAGAGTCCAGACTAAAAGGGATACCCTGGCCCTCCAGGTTGAGGGTTGGGCATGAGGCTAACAACGTCATCCTGTAAAAAGAATTTTATTCATAAACATAACAACCAGCCTCGGGTCATCATGCGTGGGTGCATTCCTACAGCAGCACGTATTGGTCGTGGAGACTGGTTGTAGAGGAGGCCAAGGCTCAGTCAGGGCTGTAGCGCCGAGTGATAGGCAGGTAGGTAGGTAGGTAGGTAGGTGTTGTGTGCAGACAGTTTCAGAAGACTACGAGCTATACAAAGAAATTCTCACTTGCATATATTTATTACTTAGTTACTCATGGAGCTGAGCCCTTCTGGAGGAGCCGCCAATTCTGCAGCTACTCAAGAATTTCCCAGCATTTTATGGAACCCGAAGGTTTCTTACCGTGTTCACAAGAGTCCTCCACTGGTCCCTATCCTGAGACATATCAATCCAATCAATATGATCCCATCCTATCTCATTAAGATCCATTTTAATATTGTCTACCCACCTACGCCTTGGTCTTCCCAGTGGTCTCTTTCCTTCTGGCTTTCATTCCCCTTTCCATAGGAAAATGTATAGTCTCCTGCTGGTGCGATGCCACCTCCATCCCACCTGACCTCCTGTACTCCCGCTAAATCTAACTTATATTTTCAGATCTCTTCTGCCGCTGCCATGAGCGAATCTGCCCTATACAAACTTCAAACATTTCAAGTGCCAAATCTCATATCCATTTTCTTTAGCTTAGGTCGTTTATCCAAGGAATCCGTCCAGGTCCGAGGTTTTGTGTTCATTTTCGTAACATACTTATTCAATGTATTCACAGCTTCTCTCCAAGACTGGAGGGCGTCTCCTCCATCCGCAACCTGAGGACGCGCCATGCCGTGGTGACAAGGGACCCACCTAACATGGCCATAAACTTATTGCCCTTCGTAAAATATTCGGCCAAACTTCAGGGAGGAAAAGAAACTTTTCAGGAAACAGCGAAAGTTGAGGGGCTCAGTTTTATGAAATATACGAACAAAAGACATTTCTTAAATAAAAATGGAGGCATCTTTGCTCGCCGTACCACATGCTTGACTCTTAAGAAGTAACAAGAACAAACGAGTGATACATACAGGTGAGACTTGAGTTCACGCCCATTACACAGAGCAAAACTGTGTTAGTACAAGATAACAATTCCAATTGTAACGGTAAACATCAGTGCAGGGCAGGGCTACAGTTGAAGAAATAGTTGGAAGTAAAACTCATTCTCCGTGTGTCACTAGGTAGTACGGTTGTAACTGCTAATGCCCCATACCACACGGTACAAAGAAAACTTTCCAAGACTTTAAAACAAGATGCAGAAGTTTGTGATGACGGTACAGCAGTACAAATACTGTGTTACTGCATATTATCCATCGCCTTGTCTTTATCTAAAAACATCGTCCTCTTTATTTTTCAAAACACGACGTTTCGGAGACTGGATCCTGTCTCAGTCTTCAGGTAAAACGTATTAAGTGGGGCCCAATCGATAGAGCTAGTCCCTATCTACGGACACGTCCTTCTGGGAGGTCATTTATATCTAGGTTCCCCATCTTTTGGGTTCTACAATTGAAACATTATGTTTATCAAGTTCCTACTGGATGTTTGCTGCTTGCTGAACCAACATATACTTAATAATTTAAGTAACAGGATAAATTATGTAGGTTCCAATGAAGTCAATTTCTCCGTTCTATTCCGTCTCTGCTCTCTATCCAATTAACATTAATCTTTCATCTACTGACCATTTCGTGCTGCTCCCCTTAAGTAGGCCGCACACCGGAATGCTTCAAGACATGATGTCTGCGACATGACGCATAGAAAGGAGCATAGTTGGAACGAATAAGATTATGAAAACCGCCGCACACCGGTCTGAGTCATCATGCTGACGTATCACGAATGAAACAAGACTGCGTCTTCTGTCTCGTGTCTTGATGCTTGTCTTGACTCAGTTGGTGTGCGGCCGCCCTAAAAGTGACAAGAATTTCCGCTGTATACAAGCGAAGAGACAGTATTACTTGGTGAGCCTCTTCCTCAAGTGTTCCGTTGTGACATTACTGAAAGCGAGGAGCCGTTGTAGCTATGAAGGCCGAGGTGTGAATTCTGGCTGGGGCTTTGGGGTGCCCTTAGTCCATGTATCAGAAAACAGAGCACTAAAGGTAGCCGAAATATGAAGGTGACACAGTGACCTTCATCAAAGGCATTCTTTAATGCTTTTAATTTATACTGTCTATATGTCATTTTGAAATAGTGACTACTTTACTACAGGAAATGCATCAGAGAACTCACCAGCAATTGTGTTGAGGAACATAAGGTACTCGAAGTTTGAGATCTCACGGCGCTGCCACTTCTGAGTCATGTTGGAGTTCCTCATCAACTGGCGAGGGGACATCATAGAGGCACGTCTGAAACAAATGAGGGAGTGAAAATTCTTTCTTCAAAAATCTTGACTCTCCACTGGCTGTTCCCTGTGCTGAGCCAGACCAATTCAATCCACGCCATCTCATCATATCTCTTTAAGATCCATTTTAATATTGTCCACCCACCTACGCATTGGTCTTCCCAGTGGTCTCTTTCCTTCTGGCTTTCCCTCCAATATCCTATATGCATTCCTCGTCTCCCCCATTCGTGCTACATGTCCCGCCCACTTCATCCTCCTTGACTTTATCATTCTAATTATACTTGAGAAGAGTAAAAGTTATGAAGCTCCTCATTATGCAGTTTTCTCCAACCTCCTGTCACTTCATCTCTCTTCAGTCCAAATATTCTCAACACCCTGTTCTCAAACACCCTCAATTTACGTTCCTCCCCTAATGTCAGAGACCAAGTTTCGCATCCATACAGAACCACAGGCAAAATTATAGTTTTTATATTCTAATTTTTGTTTTTGGACAGCAGACGAGAAGACAAGAAAGAGGAGTGAGTTATATTCCGTAAATTACGAAAATACGAAGAATAAATATACGCGGAGCGTCTCGCAGCCATTCAAGATCCAAATGCTCCGGACATACATCTGCGGGACTCAGCTGCAATTACAATTTGTCTCGTACAAATAGAATGCGTTTAAGTGAAAAAAGGGTAACCTCTAAAATAAGTGACCGACACGACGTCTAAATCAGTCACTTCATTACGTGAGGGTGGCTGTTATTTATAAGTCCCCTCGGAGCAACGCGCCACAGACACCAAAACCAAAATAGACAGTCAGGCCCCCTTCACGCCCATCAATATTATCGGTGTTAATGTCGGATCAGACGCACTAAAAATATACATTGTAACGGATTTAATCAAGGCGTTTCCAGGCAACAGCTCTGTAAACACGGTCAAACACGCAATAGATGGGGCTGTGTTTTCTATGTCGTTCGCGTCGAGTAGCACTGGAACGCCGGGTTATGCAACCAATTTGTAAGCTTCGGCCCGGTAAACACACTTCCGCGTAAGCGGTGATGTTAGCAACAACAGATACGGTGTTTTCTCTGGGGTCTGTGCAGAGTGTTTATAAGAGAAGTGATTGCAGTGACAGAGTTGGCGCCATCTCGACCAAGGTTTTCCCTGGTTTTCCTCGGTCCTGCTACCCAAATTTCACGTTGCACTTCATGCCTCACATGCAGCCCTCCCATTGGTAACATCAAAATTTACCCCTAATATAGCCCTCCAAACCGTATGCAAAAAAAAAATTATACTATAATACACCCCTTCCAGAGTAATAAAGGTATATAATACATCAAAAAAGAAATCTGATTATATGCTCTATCTATACCAGAAGGACAAACGGGGAACTTGTCTGAGAACCTTCAAAATCGGAGATATAGTTTTCNGCCAGGAGACGACTAATGAAGACGAAGTGCGTGTGCAATGGTGAACAGTAAATTATGTAAATCAGCAATAGCGCTGTATTTAAGTGTGATTAAGAGAACTTGTAACCAAGGTGCTAATAAACCCAATCATCCGATCTAGAACCCACGTGACAACTAGTTGCGATGGATTCTTTCGCAACGTATCCTATCCGACAGAAAAATCCTTCCAGTACTCAGATGGTGAAACTGTCCGATGGTTGGGTAGACTTCGTTCCGATATTTTTTACACGAAGTCTAGTGATCAGTACAACATATGCGGTCTTTCACAGGGGCGACCATCCATCAGAGACGGTAGAAGAAGGGAAACGTTTCCGTTATATCCTTCGCATATCAACATGTCTTCCATCAGAATGAGAATACGGGGTTCCAGGCTTTACTGAACAAAGATACGAACCTCAACCATACAGATTATTCAGCAAATATCTTCGGAGAGTTAAATTACATACATATTTATCTCCAAGGACACAATCCATGTATTACCGAACTGCATGAGAAAGTTATGTCATTACAAATTAAATAGAACGCATAGATATCAGAGCTGCGTGTGAAGAAGGGACCGCCTCTGTGGTCTATTGGTCGGAGTTCCTGGCAACAGATCCAGAGGGCCGAGTTCGATTCCTGGCTCTACCAGATTTTCTGACAAGTAGCTAGTTGGTCTGGAACGGGGTCCACTCAGCCTCGTGAGGATAACTGAGGAGCTGTCTCAAGGAAATAGCGGTTCCTGTCTAGAAAACCGATATTAACGGCCGTGGGAAGTCGTTGCGCGGATCACGCGACACCCTCTATCCGTTAAAGTTGGTATTAACTTCGGCGACAAGCGGCGGTCGCTCGGTCGGTATATTTCGCTTGTGGACTCAAGCAACGGAGTTTGTCTTTTAATTGTAATTATATTTTAGTTGGTAGGCTTGTGGAATATTCAAAACTACGAATATGGTTTCTAAAATCCTTCTCCCCTATATGAGTAGCTATAAGTGTGAAGCTGGAGTTTCACGTTTGCTTAAAATAAAACCTAAGAACAGGAACAGACTCACTGTTAAAGGAAATCTTCTGAGAGCACTTGCTACAACCACAATTCCGACAATAAGAAACTGAGAGGAACGGGACAGGCGCAATTTTCTCATTAGTTTTCTCTCTCTATAAACAAACTGAATGTAAATGTATTCTTTCTAAAAACTTGCATTAATTTTATGACTACTGACACATAGGTTTCCGAGCATGGCAAAAGCGAAACATGGAACACTTTCCCATTCATTCATTTTTGTACAAGCAGAATATATTCAAAATTTCGTTATGTTTACACAATTTTTGCGATTGTTTGACAACACGAATATATACATCCGCTATTTTAATGTACAAATTTGAAAACACTGTTACATGTGTAGAACTTGAAGTTCTCACGGCGGTGACTATGAAGAATGGCAACTTCTGGAATCTGGCGTCATCTAATCTGGCCAAAATTTACCGACTTTCGAAGGAACGTGGTATCTACATCTCTGGGTGAAGGACGTTTTTCCGAAATGTCCGCGATAGTCTACCAAACTACATGACGCCACATCTCTGAAGAAACTATTCCTCTTGCTTATACAGTCGGAAGGAATGTTTAACGGGGATCGTAACACACTCTAAACATGTGGTCGTTGTTTAGTAAAAACACACAGGAAGATAAAGTTCTCATTGTCACTGTCCAATACTTTTCATGTGCACAACACACTGGGGAAAGAAACTGACTTGAAACCTAATCCATGCATATAGCGGCAAAATTAAATATTTATGATTAGAATCTACGGTTTGTCAGATAAATATATATGCCTAATTATAACATATACGTAATTTGATTTAAATGTACTGTCATGTCCCGATATCCCTTACTCTCAGATCGTTCTCCTGCAGGGCTGAGGAAAATAACGCCAAAACCAAGACAGTTTCCGGGCCTCAACTGAAGGTGAGATCTCCAGGACACGACGGTCAGCGGTGGGGAAGTAATTTCCAAATTTTGAGGTTACCTGAGAAATGAACTAATTACTCCATAGAATATTCCTCAAACCTGTAAATTCTTTATCAGGTAAACAAATTCGCTGTATTTTTATGCAACATGAAGGACCGTCACAGGGCTCATAGTTTCCCTATTGTGAGCCAATTCGAATCCATAAATACCTCCATTCTCTGCGTCTCTAACATATAATTTAATATTATTATTCAATGTAAGTAAATCACGAAATACGAAAACGGAAGGCTAATTGGATTGGTCATATCTTACGCGGTAACTGCCTTCTAAGAGAAGTTATTGAAGGAAAGATAGAGGGGCTGATAGAAGTGACCAGAAGACGAGGAAGAATATGTAAGAAGATGCTGGATGGCCTTGGGGACAGAAGAGGATATTCTGATTTGAAGGAGAAAGCTCTAGATCGCATCAAGTGGAGGAACTGTTTTGGAAGAGACTGTGGACCTGTCGTCTTGACAGATTACTGGAATGAATGAATGAATGAATGAAGGGATGAATGAATGAATGAATGTACGTAAATAGGTCTCGAGTGGTTTTTCGGGTGACGATTCATTCATTCATCAGTAATCTGTCAGATGACAGATCAGAACATAAATTTTGAATGCAGTTTAATTTCCTTCCTATGAGTGTTATATTATTTTCCCTTTCATTCCGTCCATATTGGATTACTTCAGTATCATGCTAAGATAATTTACGAAGATTCCCACAATGCAACTGTCTCCAGCATTTGGTACTTCAACTTCCCCTTGAGGCAGTTTCCTATTGCAACAAGTTCGATCTACATGAACCCGAGCAGGCTGAAAACTTCCTATGAAAGGGGAAGGAAAGCCATCCAGTTCTACAGTATGTAGCAACATTCATACAGACCGTCCGTCTTGTCTTTGTTGTCACTATATAAACACTGGGGAACAATAAAAAATTGATATGTATGTCTTCTGGGTAGTAATTTGTAGTTCGGAGAGATCCCGACATTTCGGAGGGACATATTGCCTGCTTCTATTTGTTTCTTGCTTAGTTTACTTTTCAGCCCTGAAGATGGAGGCAATGTTTCTCCGAAATGTTGGGCTATCTCCGAACTACAGAGCATTGCGACCCAGAAGCCCTCTCTTCATAGTCACCTCTGCAAGAATCTCAAATCCCACAAATAGAAATCTGCGTGGCAGTTTGTAGGCACGTACCTTGTTTGCGGGATACCATACTTGACGCCCACGCCGACCCGGGGAAGCGCCTTTATCACTTTTTTCACGGTGGCCTGGTCAGGGAAGGCAAACATGATGGACGCTGTAACATAAACACGTTCAGACATCAGTAGACAGACGTCTGACCCCAGCCCCAATAGGCGGGCCTCAAATTATAATTACTGTTATAAGAAAAATGTCCAAAGATCCCAGAACGAGATTAATGGAGCCTCTTGTCCAGGAGAGAGCAGTTTTTACTCTACAAAAGACGGATCTCACATTGTCTTAGATTCCTTTTTAATGCTGTTTAAAGAGGCTGTACAGCCAAAATAAAAAATTTCTTAAGGCAGAGATTTTGGAAGCAATCACAGCTAGATTCTTACATAAACTTTTACTTAGACTATAATACTATAGTACCAGTTCTAAGTAGTTCCGATCCGGCAAGTGTATAAGAGAAAATATCTCTGTACTGTCCTAGTACTCCTGTGATGCAGCTGTCAATCATAATGAACCAATGTATTGGTCGAGTATTGCAAACATCTGTGTCGCTCTAGAAGGGTCCCGGGTTCCTGTAACGCCGTGAAGACTAAATATCAGAAAATCATCCTGTTTTCATCATTTCTGCAGACAAATGCTGGGACAGAACTTCAAAAGAGGTCACGACCAATTCTTAATCCTTTTTATTCATCATTCACAGACATTGCACCATTCAGTGCAGCATAACAGTCGAAAAGAAACATTAAATACGCCGGTAACGAATCACTGAATCCAATCCCTGAAAGGCCGAGTAGTCTACGGGAACACAAGGAAACGCGTATGTCTCAATGCACCTGAGGAGCTTGCAAGCCCGACAGTAGGAGCTAAGACTTTATGGCGTTTTCAGCTGTACTGTCCCCAAAGGTCAAGTGGTCCATGAAGCAATAATATGTTGCCGTGTTCTTCTGTCCTGGCATGACGAGCCATCAATCAGTGCCACTGCGACAAGCTGCCTGGCTGTCAAGGTCACCTTGAGCCACAGTAGGTATCAAAGGCTCTCTCCCCCGTAATCCAAGAAAAGCTACCCTAACATAGGCCTATTCTAAGGAGATTTCATGAAGCTAAATTTCTTTTAATCTTTTCCACCTTCCACGCTTATAGAAAAGTAGCCGAGATAGCGACACGCTGGACAACCGAGGGGTAGGAGTTCGAGTCCTGATAGGGTCAAGAATTTTCATTTGTCCATGTCGTCCAGACCAATTCTGGGGCCCACCAAGCCTCCTATTAAATGGGTACGGGGGGGGGGGGTCTTTCCCCTGGGGCAAAGTAGCCGGGGCGTGAAGCTGACCACTCACCTCCAACTACTGCCAAGGTCAAGAACACGTGGATCTATACATCCACCCCCCCATACGTCTTCATCGCGTAGTGCTTAATTAGATAAGCACAGGGATAACTTTACCTTTCACGCTTACAAAAAATATGCGTTCTTTTGTAACCTTCAGTTAGAACCGTTGCCCAGCAACATTCTAAATCCGAATGCGCTTCTACAGACTTCAGTATACAGAGGATGTGGTAACAGTTGTGAGATATCTGAAAATGTGGGCTCCTAGGTTATGGCACTGTGTATTCTAGTAAGTTCATTTATTCATCCACGGTTCTACAGCCCTTTGTTGGGCCCTGGCCTCTCCTTCAGTTTCGTAATCTTTTTACACAGACGGTAGGACTCCTTGGACGGAAGAACTACTTCTATCTGCGGTCTATATCCGGAATACGGAGGCAGTATGTTACTCCGAAACATTTTTACCCTCCTACCCACCTCCAGAGAGAGTCATACAGGACAGGACATGGCACGAATCTTCATCGCCGTGAAAACAAAATCTCCTGGCAGTGACACTTGTTCGTCCCGGGTGAGACTTCAGTCCACTTGGTACGTCGGCCACTGTTTGGCCTATTGTACCAGCCCCTGATGATGAGAGTGGAGTAGTCGGTGAAATGAGAATTGACAGGGGAAACCGAAGTACTCGGTGAAAATCTGCCCCAGTGCTACTTTGTCCACCAGAAAACTCACATGAACTGACCTCGAATGGAACCCGGATCGCCACGGTGGGAAGCAGGCGAATAACCGCCTGAGGTATGGCACGGCCACTACATCACCTAACTTGTTAGTGATACTGCCCTGTAATATCCTACGACTCAAGCAATCAATCAATCACGTCCACTCTGCACGTCACGATAATGACCAGGTGATGGGTAGTAAAAACAAAGAAGCAATATTTATAAATTCCACTGCGTAGCTTAAAGCACTTGACGGACGTTTTGATATTCTTCAGAAAACAGTGTCACAGTGTGCTGTGCCAATTAGTTAATCAAACCATGTTCGCAAAATGGCGTTGGTCAACAGGAACACTGTGTCTCCAGTGAGTTACATGCCTAGTCTGCACAGCATAAAAATCGATTAAAATTTGTAACACGTATAAACGTCATACATTAACAGGGCATTCTGTTGCCACGAAAGTATCACTACTGGACAGCACATGTGGTATGAAAAGTACAAAAAAATAACGGTGGACCAATCAAAATGCAATTTCGAAGTGTAGAATAAAATACGTCCTACAGGTCTTCTGTTATGATAACAATTTCGGCGTCCTTCTGTTGGGAGGTTTTCATTTCTATTGCTGAAATCCATGCATAATTAGAACAAACGCTTTAGAGTGGAGAGGCAGGTTCTTTGTCTGATCCTCTAAATATCAAGTGGGCCTACAAGTAGATGAGAAGTTTTCGTGCAGAGAGTTCAACGGGATAAAAGACTTTAAATACGGCTATAGCAGCAAAGCAGAGGGTGAGATAAGTTAACAGAGCCTTTGAAAATGCAATACAGTTCCAATATCTGGGAACGACAGCAACAAGTCAGAATTGATTCAAGAGGAAATTAAGGGGAGATTGAACTCGAGTAATGCTTGCTACCATTCAGTCCAGAACCTTTAGTCTTCTTATCTGCTGTCCAAAAACATAAAAATTAGAATATACAAAACTATAATTTTGCCTGTGGTCTTGTATGGGTGTGAAACTTGGTCTCTGGCATTAAGGGAGGAACGTAGACTGAGGGTGTTTGAGAACAGGGTGTTGAGGAGAATATTTGGACCGAAGAGAGATCAAGTGACTGGAGGTTCGAGAAAAACGCATAACGAGGAGCTTCATAACTTGTACTTTTCTCCAAGTATAATTAGAATGATCAAGTCAAGAGGATGAGGTGGGCAGAGCATATAGCACGAATGGGAGAGAGGAGGAATGCATATAGGTTGTTGGTTGGAAAGTCAGAAGGGAAGAAACCACTGGGAAGACCTAGGCGTAGGTGGGCTGACAATATTAAAATGGATCTTAGAGAAATAGGATGTTATGGATTGGATTGATCTGGCTTAGGACAGGGACCAGTGGAGGGCTCTTGTGAACACGGTGAAGAATCTTCGGGTTCCATAAAATATTGGGAAATTCTTGAGTAACTACATAAATGGCGGCTTCTCAAGAAGGGCTGATCTGCATGGAATAAGTTAATCAAAACTGTTGGAGCCATTTCCGAGCAAATGATCATTCTGTGTCTTGGTTACATTTGAAGGGCCCCGTTTCTTGGAGGTTTAACGTTCATATTTACCGCCCCCCCCGTCATGGATAAACTCTCAAAATACGTAATATGAATAAATCGGTCCGCCAGTTCAGTCGCTAGCGAGGCGCACATACACACATCACATGCGTCAAAATGTCGAGATTGGCCAATGTCACGATCACAACACTTTCTCCTACAATTATATCATACCACAAAGTAAAGTCACAAAGAGACCAAGACAATAATCTGTCTATCTATGGCTCTATACTCCATCGAACCTCGGCCGCTTTTTCAATTTCTTAATCCTATACACAGCCGGTAGGACCCTTTGGACGGGGCATCAGCCCGTCGCAAGACCGCTTCCTACACATACACACACATAATAAATACAAACAGACATCCACACATTGAGTGGGATTCGAACCCACGATCTCAGTGTTCGAGAGAGCGAAGACAGCTCATGCCCTAGCCGGCACGACCACCGCGATCGGCCAAAACAATAAACTGGGAGCTATAAAACTGATATCCCTTGTTATCATCGCCCTGACCATGTAAATGGGATCTCTTGGTGCAGAAACCATCGCTGTTTTCCGCGTGTATATAAATCAATAACCGCGATATAGAGAACCAAACACCGGGTTCGTCGAAAGTGGATAAAAATATGAGAACCCGCGAACGCTGGAAATTCGCGGTTGGCGAGGGATGACATGGAATGCTGAATAACACGCGTTAAGTGTATGACTTACAAATAATAAGAGGAACAACAAGACCGCATCTGTGGTCTAGTGGTCAGAGTTCCTGGCTACAGATCCAGAGGTCCAGGTTCGATTCCCGGCGCTACCAGATTTTCTGAGAAGTAATGAGTCTGGAACGGGGTCCACTCAGCCTTGTAAGGATAATTAAGGAACTATTTCAAGGAAATTGCGGCTCCGGTCTAGAAAACCGAGATTAACGGCCGTGGGGATCCGTTGCGCTGACCACGCGACACCCTCTACCTGCTAAAGTTGGCACTATTATTATTATTATTATTAATGGAGGGGGTGGGTTTCCCCATGCACCGCGACTAATAGTCTATTGTACGTCCCCCTATGATATTCTACCAGTTGCCATACCCTTCCCATACTGGTGCTCGCTATCAGCCCCGTTCAGCCAGCGAGGCTGGCAATGGTACCCGATACTTCCCCATCTACCGGAGGCATTGGAAACTACTTGGGAGGGAAACTTTGCCTAATTTTGCTCAGAGGTCTCCTACAGACATGAGGATCTTTTACGTGTCGTAAATCTACGACACGGAACCCACGGCTTAAAGTCCCTCCCGGAGGACTTGTTCCCTGAATTTTTCCGCCCTTGAAAATTCCACGACCTCCGCCGGGTTTGAACCCGCGTACCTTGAGTCATGAGGTGGGAACGTTACCCCTAGACTACGGAGGCCGCTAAAGTTGGCACTAACTTCGCCGACAAGTGGCGGTCGCTCGATCGGCATTGTTCTCTTGCGGACTACAGGTCACGGAGTTAAGAGGAACATG